TGAAACAAAAATTGTTTAATTAGTTTGAGACAAGTGACGGAACTCGACTAGTCGAAATACCAAATCGAAGATAGCCCCCCGTTTAATATTAAATAGAATTTATTCCCCTTCGATTCCGCAATATAATAATTGTTGTTGTTATTTTATTGCGGGTACTCTTATTTGGAATCACGAGTGATTTGAAGCTCGGATAGGGAGTTGAAAAGCGCGCATTTAATTTAATTATATAATTAGGTCACTTGTAGATTAGAATTCAGTCTTAATTGAACAACTACCGTATTAAGGCGGTAGCATGAAGCTAATCTGGTAACATCTCCCGGTCGGAAGAACACCCCTACGCGAAAGATTAATTGCTCTCCCAAACCCCAGACCACCCGACCGTAACACTATACTCAAGAGAAGTCGAGAAAAGAAAGGCACCAGCGATTATAAAACAATTATAAAACAATTATAACCGATTATGAGACTATTATGAGACGGTATGACTGACTATGGTCTCTCTCTTATAGAAACTATTTAGTGAATGAGCATCTATGTTGGAGAGTAGTGTATTTGGGTATTTGAACAAGAAGATAAGAAGTCTCTTGCACATTTCTCGCACTACAGTTGGGAAAGTCTTAAGAATTTATAGGAAGTGGGGGTGTCAGTGATCCTTTCCATGGTCTAAGAAAGTTGCTTGATGCAGATGACATGGAAGTATGTAATTTTGTCTGTGCTAATTCAATTAAGTATTAATGAGTGTCTGTCAAAGGTTCTCAAGTCCTTGGTCGAGCAGAAGGTAGATTTGTACTTAGATACTGAGTGAACTCCCCTTTACCATGCATCTTGTCAAGTTCTTCAAGAAACTCATGCATAGTCAGTGTTTTTTTTTTTGCCATTGTTGATGCATGGTGGGCCATGTAATTGAATGGGTGATGATATGAATATTGAGACAGCAGAAACTGTTGACAGTGGCAGTATGTACAAGTCGGAGGGGCATAACGAGGCGTATTTGGGCAGTTTGAAGTGATTGTGAGATTAGCTGTTTAATTGGTGTTTTCTTTTTTTTAGACAGAACGAAAGATTGGGTGTGTAGGTGGAGTATCTAAATCCGCTACTCCCTGTATCTGTGAACGACGAATAATAGCATGAGAATGACGTTGCTTTTTGATATATACCCAGTTGTAGGCCCATACTGTTAATGCACTGCTGTGACTTGAGATGACTATTTCCGTCAATTAGGCACGGGTGACCATGTTCACTGCAGTAATATCAATTCCTTATTTCATTTATCTTTGTTGCCTTCTCCTCGGTTGCCTCGTCAAGGCCCGAATGTTTTGTTTTCTTTTTTGTTTCTTTTTCTTCTGACACCCCGCCTTCCTTCATCTTCACTTGCATCCATACACATGGTTTGCCGTCAGTTTTTTAAGTAATCGCCCAGTCCATCTTCCGCCAGGTTTAAGTAAACTCGTTTGTAACAACATGAAGAACACATTTGAAAATCTTTATGTAAGAATAATAGGATTTTTTTGTTTATACAAGTAATAACAAAATTTTTTGAGTTTTGAATTTTGAAATTAGACAACATTTAATAAAATAATTGGTTTTCGATGAAATTTATGTCGGTGAAATGAACCAGGCCCTATTTGTTTACACTTCGAGAAACGAAGGTGGAAACAAGCGATTACAATAAACACACATTTTTACGACTAAGTAACTACGTTTCTTTCAGTGAACAGAGGTCCATTGTCAGCAAAATCTTAGTGAGGTCTTAACATAATGTCGATGCGAGTTTTGGTTTGAATTTAGGAAGATTAAGAAAATGAGCAAAGGAGGCAAACAAATATTGACGAGTTTTTTACATTCGAGTCTTAAATTGAATTTATCGTTAGGTATTATGTCACACATGTTATAACCGTGAATAATAAAAGATATTAATATTAAAGACCGTTGTTATAACGGATTTTTTGCAAGTTTAGTTAAGAGTCCGGTATAAACCTCACTGTTCGATGTAACGGACTGTCGACATAGCGGACAAAAGTGCTGGTCCCGAGCAGTCCGTTATATCGGTTTTCACTGTGTATATGAGACGTGTGTTTTGAACCCTTTTATCGGTTATGTGGTCGATAAACCATGTTGCTACAGGACTTGTTCGTGAGTTGTAGCGCACTAATATGGATTGGCGAAAAAGGTCCGTTGCGTCGTATATTTAGCTTTCGTGTGCAATGGAGAGTAGTGGTGGGTACATGTGTGTATAAGTTCGAACTCTTTCATCGGTTATGTGGTCGATAAACCGTGCCGTTGTTTAAAAACTGCAAAGTGTCATATGTGGAAGAGAGGCGATACATGTGCAAAGGAAAGAAGAGTCTGGGTATATATATATGTATGAATAGACGCGTGTTCGGCGTGTTAGATGACATATAATTGGTACTACTTGATATTATCAATTGCTGTTGTACGCAATAAGGAGCGTGAGAGTCTGGACTATCGACCAATAGTAAAGCATAAACGGATATTGATATATTGCTCAGTGTAACACATAATTACATCATATTGCGACTGTCATGATTGTTTCCGCAAATAAGAACAATCATTCGAGAGCACACGCAGTAAAAATTTTTCACTGGTTAAAAAGTCCGATAAGACACGCAATTAAACTTATCTCGAGACTACCAACAGGTATAGATACTTTTCGATAAATAGTCCCCATATAAGATGCACGTTTGCCTACGACACCAATTTAATGAAGACTGCAATAATTACTATAATTGGGAGTGAATAGTCATGTCGTCGCCTTGTTGTTGCATATAATGATGGATTCCTATCTCTATGATATGTTTACATATTAAGAAAGTATTGTTGACAAATGCAGGACATGAGCAAACCCAATTACTGAAATCCGTCTGATTTGGTGGCCACGGAAAACAATTGGCCAAGAACATGACTAACAAATTTCGAACCGCACCTTCCATTTTGCAAACTATGAAAGTAATTCGGAAAACGGCGAGGTAATTGACCAGCTCGGGTTGTTTGGGGCTTTACAACCATTAACGCCAGTAGCAGATCGCGTCTTTGTTGATGGTCCCAAATTTCCACTGCCATATATATTAGACACTTCATCTATTATTTTTAATCGACCAATAAAATTTCATCAAAAATCATCCAATCACAGTGAAAGTCTTATATCTTGAAAAAAAAAATACCTTACTTACAGATTTTGAATAATTGCGACGGGATTGTGGTAAAAATGCCCGTGAGATTTCTGATGCCCTTGGGCATTCAGTTACTCGTGCTATAAACGCATTTCGTGTGTGATAAGCAAGGTAACGGCTCAACCTAGAAGTGGAAGACCGAGATCAATGTCTGACCGAAACATCCGGTACTTAGCTCAAGAAGTTCGAAAAAATAGACAAATAACCGCTGATGAACTTGTTCAACAAATGAAAGAACAATTCGAAGTTATCTGTATGAAGCTGGTTTTCACAGTCATGTAGGGAAGAGAAAACCCTTTATTTCTGAGCAGAAACGCAAAAAACGCTTTCAGTGGTGTAAAGAAGAACGAAGAACATGGGTTAACCGTCATCTGGAGCGATGAATCCCGTTTTACCTTGTATCAAATGATGCACACGTAAGGGTTTGGTGTCAGCCAAAAGAAGCGTATGCTATCGATTGCTTGGTTTAAGCATGGAGGGCTCCGGTCCGTCTTTAGGTGGCCGTTCAGTTTCCTTACCCGTGGGTGTCTCTCCCCTAGCGTGTTCCTACCCTGGAGATATAATGGTGTGGAGGTGTTTCGTCAATAATCGGCCTGGACTGCTAGTTCTAATAGAATGTAAAATTAACGCAGGTGGCTATATAAGCTATCCATATAATCTTCCACGTGAAGCAATCGCAATCGCAGCCGCAGCCGCAATTATCAATTACCTTTTTTTGAGCCAAATACTTACATTTTTCAAGAAGACAATGCTCCAATTCAAAAAAGTGGCTAAACGGAAAGATAATATCGTTTTCGTGGCCCGCACAGAGTCCAGATCTCAATCCAATCGAGCATGTTTGGGACAGATTAGAGAGAGGAATTCGTGAGCGAACTTCTCCACCAGCCGAGGACTGGTCCCGAATTATTTAGAAAATTTAGTAGAAAGTATGCCTCGTAGAATTAAAGCTGTAATTGAAAACAAAGGCAACACTAATAAACTGATGTAGTGTTGTATTACACCAAGATTTTTTGTCAATACTTTTTTCCGGTGAATGTATCACTACGGAAAATAATTAGTAATCAATGCTGGAATCAGCTGTTAAAAACAGGCCACGAACCCAAGGCTAACTATCTCATATCTCGTCTACTCACTTCAAATAAAGAAATATGGTGACAATCGGCATCAATGGGTAAAAGGCCTTAAATATTGTGGTGCGAATGAAGAATATCAACGGAGCAACTAATTATCACTTTGTTTAGCTTTGGTCGTATTGGTCGTCTTGTCTTGAGAGCGACGTTCCAACCCGGAAAAGAAAATATCGATGTGGTTGCCATTAATGACCCTTTTCTTGACATTAACTATATGGTTAGTCATTGGTATTTATTTGCATATACGCTTTACTAAAAACGATAACATCGTATGTTACATTTTTGCATTGATTATGGTCGTAGCTGTATCTGTTCAAATATGATTCTGCACATGGAAGATTCAAAGGCGAAGTTAGCGTTGAAAACAATAAACTTAAGATAGGTAGACACACCGTCACAGTTTTGAACGAAAGAAATCCGGAAGATATTAACTGGGGTGAGCTTGGTGTCGAATTTGTGGTCGAATCAAGTGGTCAGTTCACAACTATGGAGAAAGCATCGGCTCATCTAAAAGGGGGCGCCAAGAAGGTCATTATCACCTCACCAAGTGCAGATGTGCCAATGTTTGTGTGTGGTGTGAATCTTGAGAAATATGATTCTAAATATAAAGTCATTTCCAACGCGTCGTGCACGACTAATTGTCTTGCCCCACTGGCTAAGATAATTCACGACAAGTTCGGTATTGAGGAAGGGCTTATGACTACCGTTCATGCTACCACTGCTACTCAAAGGACAGTCGATGGTCCCTCCGGCAAAGACTGGAGAAGAGGTAGAGGTGCGGCTCAAAATATTATTCCGAGTAGTACTGGCGCTGCTAAAGCCGTCGGTAAAGTAATCCCAGAACTCAATGGAAAATTGACTGGCATTGCTTTCAGAATTCCGCCGCTTATTGTCTCTGTAGTTGATCTCACTGTTCGGACAAAACTTAGTGCTAGTTATGATAACATCAAAGCTGCTGTTAAAGAGGCGACAGCGGATCCGAAATACAAGGGAATCGTAGCGTATACGGAAGACGATGTAAGCACATTGCTAAAAGGCCCAGTATATTGGTGCAATACTAAACACGATTTTTTCATATTATAGGTTGTTTCCAGAGATTTTGTTAGCGACACACATTCGTGCATTTTCGATGCCAAAGCCGGTGCGTACGATGCTATTGGCATGATCGTTGGTGTTCAATATTGTTCACTATGTATTTCTTTCGCGTTTAGGTATCGGCTTGAACGATCATTTCGTTAAACTTGTTGCCTGGTATGACAATGAATGTAAGTACATGATTGTCACATGAAATAGCAAGGTAAACTGTGTTAAGACAAAGGATTAACGATTGTTAAACCCCTTAGTTGGTTACTCGACGCGTGTGCTTGACTTACTTGAGTACGTTGTCACAGAAGATTTGAAAGGCTAAATTTCGGTAGGGAACGGATTATGATGAAGTGAGTCTACATAATAATTGTTTTATATGTCATGGCATAGACTTCTGTAGACATACAGTGTAAAGTATGCATCATGTCTGTTTAATGTAATGTCAGTCATGTACAAAATAAACACCGAAGTTGACGAATACATATATTGAACTGTTTCTTGTAATCCGCTCCATGTATAATTACAATATTTCTTGTATATCGTTTGGTTGCTCCCCAACACGTTCAAAAATATACAAACTGACTGACCAGAATTTTTGATCGTTTCAACCAATGTGCTTCGTTTCAACCAATGTGCTTCCTTCTGTATCGATTAAAGCGATCTCATCTTTAACAAATTTTCCTCTCTTATCTCGACACACTATTTTTTTATATCCGGCTTTCTTTTAGTTGGTCGAAGGCATTGTGAAATAATAATGAAAGCTACTATCACATTTATTGGATAACTGACCGGTACACACAGGTCCGAAAATTCTACTTTTCTTTAAGAATGTGTAAAGAAATTGTTATTTTTCAAATGCCTAGAACTCGAAATTTTTTTAGTTGGTTAAAAGTTTTAAACCGTAACTTTTATTCTCTTCCATCTTTCTATCATTCTTACGGATTAGTTTTTCTCTACAGAGTTTTGATGTCAGGTGATTTAAAAATAAAACGGACTTATAAATTGATAAATTAAATATTTTATTGAACGAATTTTGTTGTACATTTTTATTGGATACCATCCGAAATTATATATAAACACATCACCAACACCTAACCAACACCGACATTAAAAAAAATATGGATAAACCACGTGTTGCAATTATTGGTGCTGGTATGATCGAAGCGAGAATGTTGACTTACACGGGTTTTTCCGCAGAAACGTTCTCATTATCCTTACCATGTTTAAATTAAGGTGTTACCGGTTTAACTGCCATTAAGCAATGTTTAGTCGCTGAGTTGGAACCTATCTGCTTCGAACAGACCGATCATACTGGTGGATTATGGAGATATACTGAAGTTACCGAGGAAAATCAAAACCCTCATTCTTCTGTATATCGTAGTACCGTCATCAATACAAGTAAAGAACATGTATGTATGTCAATCAACTTTCCAAGTCTAACTTAATAGGTTAGGAATTTTTTATGTATCTTAAAACACTACACAGATGACTTTTTCTGATTTCCCAATTCCAGAAGATTGGCCGACATTTCTTCCGCACTACAAAGTGGCAGAGTAAATATTAAAAATTTTGCGCGTCAATATCGAAACACTGATCCTATGGACTAATTGCATAATCTCTCTATAAGATACTACGACTTGTATGCGGATAAATTCAACCTATGGCGACACATCCGTTTTAATACAACAATATTGAATGCGTCTATGATCCCAGAGACAAAGAAATGGAAAATCGTATCGATTAAAAAGGGTGGAGAAAAGGAAGAAGAAGAATTTGATTATGTCATGGTATGTACTGGACATCATAACGTTCCTCGATTACCAAATTACCAGGGAATGAAGACATTCCCTGGTAAGCAGATACATTCTCACTTTTACAGAGAGTAAGTAGATTCGATTGTTCAATGAGTTGAACACACATGCACATTTAAAAAGCTAAATAATATTATTGCAGACCATTTGCATACGCTGGCAAACGCGTTGTGGTTGTCGGAGTTGGGAATAGGTGAGTGCAAAATGATCATTGGTGTCCTTATACAGTATATTAACTCGACATCTAACCGCTTTGCATTGTTTCCAGTGGCATGGACATGTCTGTAGAGCTATCTCACTATGCATCACAAGTCTACCTAGTATCCCGCAGAGGTATCAAACTCTTTGCTTATTGTTGATATTACTCATTTATCGCGTGACACATTCTACAATAGCGTTTCTTCTATAAGGCAGACTTCCCTGGATTCTGCCCCGCAGAGGTCCCTTCGGACGACCATTTGATCACTCAAACTCGCGCTTCGCCGGCATGCTTCCTGGCTTTATCAGGAACTATATTGCCCGCCTAGTTATCTCGCTTACCACCGGCCTACCTCCCAAGCATCTCCGTCCGTTATATCCATTTTCCGCTGCTCATCCATCAGTAAAGCCAGAATTTCTTGATCGGCTTTCGACCGGAACGATTGTGGTGAAACCTGATATCTTGTCATTGACGACTGATGGATCTGTGTCTTTTGTTGATAACACAATTGTCGATAATATTGATGTTATTTTTTACTGTACTGGATACAACAATGAAGTACGCTTTATGGATACGGAAATCATCAATGGTGGAGATATTGTCAGAAAGAATTTTGACGAAGGAGAATATAGGGAGAATATTACTTGGTTATATAAATTTATGTTTCCTCCAAGGTGGAGTAATATTGCATTTTTGGGCTTCATACAGCAGATTGGGGCGATCATGCCTATGTGGTAAGCGTTATAACCATCGTTATAACGATTGCTAATCCTTTACTACAAGTCATTCATACAAATCATAAAATACCTGTAACATTACTCCCCCACCCAAATAGTGAACTCCAAGCCCGCTATGTGACAGCATTGATCAAAGGCAAGATTTCGCCTCTGCCCTCTTCCGAGGAAATGGACAAACGTATTATGGCCTACCATACTCGAAACCGTAAGCGGTTCTATGAAGCGGCCAGACACACCATGGAGATTGAAATGATGCCGTATTGCGATACAATTGCAAGGGATATTGGATGTTATCCAACTTTAACGAAAGTACTGTGGAAATACGGATTTGGGATTTGGAGGAGGGTATTATTTGGCGTTCCTACACCTATGCAAGTGAGTATATTCTTTGAAATTGAGAGAATGAAGCTTGTTGATACAGGATAAAATTACAAATGTTTAAAGTTGTCAATAACCAATTGCTTGATAGTATTTACTAGTGTATATTGATGATTTCTCATTCTCTTCTTAGTTTCGATTGTTGGGACCTGACGCATGGCCTGATGCTGCTAAATGGATATACATATATAACAAAGGCTGAATGGAACTGATAAACACTTTAATGGCAACGGTAAAATTATTGACAACATTCAGTTTTAGAATGAACTCGGGCATTTTATAGCGAGTTGATCATGCAGAGAAGGCGATATTATTAAAAACATCTCCCCGAAAATTTTCAGAACAAAGAGTTGGAATATTTAATAAAGAGATGAGTAGCTCCCGACTCTTGCTATTTTATAAAATCGCTAACCAGTATTGTCTCAAGATTTATTATTCGAAAAGTCTATTTGGCAAACTTTGATACGTAATATTTAGGACCACTTATACGTGCTCTAACTCCGTTGGACTGACAATCTTAATCTTCGTTTATGTGAATGTCACCCCTGCAAAAAGAAACTCAAAGGAAAAAGGCAATCTTTAACCGCGTAGTACCACTATACTAATACTACTGTGGTTAAAAAACAAAAAAAGTAACAGAGAAATTATATGCAAGCCGTAACTGTACATGACGTTTCCCGCTAGCAGGGAGACTGTCGATTGAAAACAGATCTTGTGCCGTAACTTCAATCAGCCTCCTGATTTTATCGAAGAGTAGTTTTGCAATTGAATAAGACGAATTACAAGAAACAGTTTCTCGTGCTCTCGATTCTGTTAATACTTTGCTATTTTAATAAATATAAATCTAATATAAAGCAAGTCGAAGAGATTGAACGATGTATACAACAAAACTTCCGAGACAACTTTTGATATTATTTACAATTATTTCGTGCATATCGTTTGGCTGCTCCCCAATAATAATAACGTTCAATAAAATTCAATTTGCAGTGAAATTTTGGGAAAAATATACAAACATGACCTGTTTTTAATGTGTGTTTGAATGTGTTAGTAAATAATAATAATATTCATATTAACGATCGTGTTAATTAAATTTATCGTCTAGGATTATTGATTGGACTCATTCACTAGGAGCGTCTGAGAACGAGTACAAGAAATTCCTTAATTAGACGCGTCCAATATTTTTATCGCCCTTCGATTAAAGATTATTATTAGTTGTTGTTCTAATATTAGGTGCGTCGTTGTTGCTGTACGTACGTACAAAAGTGTCCATTGCCGTCAAGCCAGCTTACGGAAGTTGGATTAATATCTAACTGTGATTAAGCGGACGCTGGAGTATCAGACCAGACAGGAGAGAATAATTCTATTATCGGTGCAATATATTTGTCAGCACAACATTTGAGTGAGAGTTTATGCTTTAGCAATAGGAAGTATAAAGAGCCGCCTGCAAATTTTAGCTACGCCTTAATTGACGCAGGCATGTAAGCAAGACTGCGTTTAGGCGGTCAATTTGAACACAAACGCTCTCCAAGGTGACCGAACATACACAAGAAAAGGAACTCCAATGAAATATCACTGGTGATATTATCCATTTGAATGATAGAGCAATATCTGTTTATTCTGAGACTCTATTTTTAGTGAAAATATAGTTAGTAAAACAAAAATTCAAGTATAAAAATGCAATGAAATTTAATCCATAGGCAAAGCTGTATCACTGGAACAAAGCCTTCTAGTTGATCTTTCAGCCCATCTAAATCAGCCATTGTTAGCTCACATGCCCCATATTAATATATTATATGGGGCATGCTGCAACAAAACCAGACAAAGTGAACATTCTATAATTGAGGGGCTGATTATGATGTGGCTGTAA